TAAGCCAAGGGTGAGCTTTGGAATTTTGAGAGCAGCAAAAGCGATCCTGTCTGGGCTAGTCAAATCAGAGTGTCAACGGCTGCTGTAGCCAGGACTGTGTAAAGCCAGGGCCTGTAAATCATTGTTGAGAGACATATTCCAGGACTGAGACACTCTCAGTAAGCCGAGCCCCCTGTTCAGCACTTAAAAACTATGAGCTCAGTATATTCATTTCACTGTAAACCCATTAGTTAATTCACCCACCTAGCAGTCCCCTGAAAATTGAGAGGGGGAAAAATGGTACTATCAATCCTAAGTTAAAGTTAGAGAAGGCGTTGACCCAGAAAGTTAAATGCAGTGTATGACAATCCACAGACCAAAGTACTGAAACTCGTGTCAACAAGTATTTATTGTGTTCTCAATGTGTGCCAGGCACTGGAGACAATGATGAACTAGCTGCACTTTTTTTTCTCCCCTAGCTGCACTTCTTAGTCCCAAAGGAGCGAACACAAAAGCCAAACATAAACCTATATACTTCCTCTTTCCTGTGTTATATACCACTGATCATCTATAGAGGAAATATGAACAGATTTTTTTAACCTTTAGCTGTGTAACTAATCCTAAGTGTAAATTACGTTTATTCAAGAAAAAACACTTACACCAAAATGCAGTCCAATCAGTCAGAGAGGACATAGTACCCATAAGCTTTTCCCAGAAGTCCCTGGTGGTACAAGTTCGTAGCTACTACGTGAAAGGTTGCCAGTTCAAATCAAAAGCCACAGATCAAAATGAGTCAATTCTGAATAGGGAAGAAAGCAAAGTTTCTAGTCACTGACAGCTGAAACAACGACATCTTGTCAATTTATACACCCAGAACCATCACCTCAGACTACTTTGTGTGACTTTAACTCTGGTAATACCTGCCCCAATGTATCTTGGTAAACCGGGCTTTGTAGATTGGTGTTATGGTCTAATGTTGGACTTATGGGCTTGGCTTGGACAGCACTGGGTTGGGATGCTTTCTTAGTGTACACTTACCCTTCATAAAAAACTCTCTCTTATACATATGAATTTCTGTGGATTTGTTTCTCTAATGTACCTAAGACTAACACATTATGGTACCAGGAGTGAGGTACTGAAGAAACAAATCGTAAGGTGGAGAGTAGATGTTTGTCTCACCTCTCCCTCATGTAGTTTTTCTTCTTTGTCTAGCCAGAGGTCAGATAAAGCCACACTGTTTACTGGGTTGTTTTCTGGGGAAAATATGAGCAGTAGGAAAAGAAAAAACTTGTAGCCCACTTGCTTTCAGCCATTAAAATTTGATCTTTAGATGGGTTTAGGTTTAGATGCCCCACCCAGTGCTTTGGAATATTTAGGAACCAATGGTCTTTGTCAGAAGCTGGAAAAAAATCTAGAACCATGAAGAAAACTCCTCTCTAGGACTGAATGTTAAAGGGAGCCTGTGGTCAGGCTGAAATGCTTGGATCTATTTGTTAAATGGAAATGGGAGAAATGCAGCAATAAAGAGACAGGTTGAGTTTGGCCACTGACACCTGTGGGCTTGGTTCACAGGAAAAAGAGAAGACAAGAGCGGGTTGACTGGTCTAAAGTTCATGACCTAGCACAAGGAGGCTAGGCCTGTTGAGTATTTGTGAGAGCCCATGGTCTAAAGGCAAGGCTACCAATGGGCACCCTGGGGAAGCTGAGTGAGGCAGCCCACATTGAGTTGACCAGAAGCCAACCAGATGAAGAGATTTTTGAGCCTGTGAACTGGTGCATACTGTTGCTGACTTTATGGATGGTGTGTACTGATTTGACTTTGCTTATGGATGAGGACTTCACAAGGTTCCAACTGGAATGAAGATTCTTTATGTTGAAAAACATGACTGCAACCTCAGAGCACTGGGTTGTTTTAAGTGGGCAGTATAGAAATTGGGATACCCCAAATTGGGGGGGATAACAGCATGAAGTTGTTGGCTTACAAACTTTCATAGGTGGGGGAATATATTCATAGGATTATGGTGTAGGTGTTACTTAACTGGAATTGTTAGGTTAAAGAATTGTGTACAGGTCCCAAGTTGGCAAGAGGTGGATTGAGATAGTTTAAGGTTTATTGTGCCAACCAGGCTGATAAACACATGTGGGATCAATTGAAGGGTGGAGAGAGAAATGGCTCCGTGAGCCTTGCCTTTCGAGTTCTGGGGTCTCTTGTTTTCTGATGGTTGGACCAGGGTGCAGCTGCCTTAACCAGTTCCCTGCTTCATCTGGCAAGGCTCACTTCCTGCGAGACATCCCTGAGGAGAAGCCACATGGACCTACCCTAATGTAACCATGGGTGCTGGAGCAGCATGTGGAGACTCCTGCCAGTGCTGAAATGCTTACACACTCACTGATTCAGCTTTCTCCTGCAGGTGGCGTCATTGTGCGTGTTTTGTGAGACTGAGGAGAACTTTGTAGATTAGTGTTGGACCTATGGGCTAATGTTGGATTTATGGGCTTGGGCAGCACTGGGTTGGGATGCTTTCTTAATGTACACTTACCCTTTATATAAAACTCTTTCTTATACATATGAGTTTCTGTGGATTTGTTTCCCTAGTTTACCCAGACTGACATACCAGGTCATTAAAGTCTAGGCTAATGGTTCTCAACCAGGGGTGATTTTGCCATCAGAGATATTTGGCTACTAGCATCTAGTAGGTATTGGCCAGGGATGCTGCTGAACATCCTACAATGCACAGTGCAGGCCCCTAAACAAAGAATTTCTGGCTAAAAAATTCAGCAGCTACAAGATTGAGAAATTATCATCTAGAATTTATAGGTAGTTTTTCAAGAAAAAGGAAACAAAGAAAATAAACTCAGCTCTGCCTTGCCCCCTCCACTAGCAATGAAAAGCTTTTGTACTTCGCCCATAATCCAGGACAAAGTGGAGTTAGCTGCTTTGGCAGCCCCCTTTGGGAAACACTGGTATAGGTACTCTACATCTTGGATAGGTAGGGCTTTTGCTTCCTCTGGGACTATTAAGAACTCTGGGTAGACAGGCTCTACCTCGAGATCACACAACACCCATTTCCCTTCGCCTTTTCCACTTTTTTCCCTTTGTTCTGGCCTCTAAAAAAAAAAGTCAAAAACTAATTAGACCATTACTTGTAATGCAGGTTTCCTTATTGCTCAATGATGCTTAATGAAATGAGGAAAATGAACCTAAGAGGTTGATTATTCTACTCCCACCCGCTGCCATCAAGTCAACTCTGACTCATAGGGACCTTTTAAAGATGGAGTAGTACTTGCTCTCTGGGGTTTCTGAGGTTGTAAATCTTTAAGGGAACAGAAAGTCTAATCATTCTCGTGTGTTGCAGATGGTAGACTCGAATCTCAGACCTTGTGGTTAGCAACTCAACCAAATGTACCATAAGGTTTCTTTAAGCGGTGGCAGAAAATGGAAGGAAAGAGGAGTCTGGTTGTCATTTTCACAGTTAAATGAAACAAACCCCATCAATCTGCACAGCAGAAAGTTGTGTGTTATATTGTAAATTTCGCAAATCTAGAAATTTCTTTTCCCACCCAAGAATATATTGCCCGAAGCACCATATAAGCAGGAAAAACGAAGTCACTCTGGTACTGTGGGCTCTTCAAGAAGACACCACTTATGTCACTGAGGCCACCTAGTGGTCTCCAGTCGATCTCAGCTAAGCAGGTCCTAAGACTCCAACTTGAATATAAATTCTGGATTTGGATATGCATTCTGTATTTACAAAAAAAAGGAAATCCCCAGCCTGGAAAACTTAAAATACATAGTCTCCGTTTATTTAGTCTGCAACTCAATTCACCATGCATTGATTGAGCTTCTGGTATACACTTAAGAAACAAAGCCCAAAATAACAAACGTACTGCCACTGAGTCTATGCCAATTCACAGCAACCCTATAAAACAGAATAGACCTGCTCATCTGGGTTTCCAAGACTATAACTCTTTATAGAATTAGAAAGCCGCATCTTTCTCCCAGTAACTACTAGGAGGCTTTAGAAAGTGCATGGAAAAAACTAACTAAAAGACAAAGAAAATTCCTCACGAGCCTTTTGAAAGCTTTCTCATATATTAATCCTTTAGCTGTGATATAAAGAAGTCTCTAGTGACCAGTCTTGGGAGAAGAATTCTAGCTTCGATCTTCCAAGAGCAGAATGTAGAAAGGTTCTCAAAGAACTGTTTTTATGCCCACCCTTCATCCACATATAATGCTAAAGAAGCACATGAGAATACTAAGTCAAAACTGAAAAATGAAACAGTTGAGGGACCAAAGAGGAGAGCACTAACAATTAACAATTTAAATGTGAAATAGCAATGAGATTAGTTGTACTTGAGACGATAAAACTATTTGCTTATTTGACCCATCTGTCTTGATTATTCAGATCAGTACCACTGGTTCACTCACAGACACCCACTTCAGAACTTCTTAGGACGAGACAGATGCAAGAACACCAAAAATGTTCTTTCCCTGCCAGCTCTGAGTCAACGCCAGTATTTGAATTCCCAGTCCTATGGATTGAATTCTCCACCCCAACCCACCACCCCCATGCTATAAATCCTAGCCTCTATGCTTGTAGTCACAATCCCATTGAGGAATGGGTTTGGGGTTGTCTTTGTTATGAGCCAGCACCCTGAGTTCAGATATCAAGCTTCCTAAACCGTAAGCAAATCAATTTGTTTGTTAGTCACCCACTTGTGGTTATTTGTTACAGCTCTAATAGATAACTAAGCCACTCGGTGAAACTGTAAAAAGGCTGGAAACTCTCAGCTTGGGATCTCTGTGCCCAGTGGAGAGGCTGACAGTAAGAAGAGTCAGCAGCCACTTGGGACACATGTCTCTTGGATGGTACTCCGTATGCTTCCTCCACCATTGTCCTTTACTGGTACAAGAAGATGGCTCTCTTTGGTAGACTAATTCTCCATGGATTCCCCCCTTGCTTTTGGTATGGTATTCTTAGTGAGGAAAGGATGACTGTGAGAATGCAGTGGGTACTTACTTGATCACGATCTCCAGCAAAACAGCAGCTTTTCATGGTGCAAGAGTTGAAGTAGCCCTGGTTATCAAACTGGAACACAGGCAGACGGGAGTGGATGTCGTAGAGCACAGGGGGCAGGCGGCGCCTCAGGGCCAGCAGCTGGGTTCCGTTGCTGTTGAATCGAACACTCATGGCACTCTGGAGGGAGAAGTTGCCACCATAGCGCAGGAGAGAGCTAGAAGGCAGAAAGCACAGGGAGCAGGGGGTGAGGCTGGTGGGACAGAGGCTGCAGACACAGTACTCATTTCTACACAACCTGTGTCGAAAACTACCTTCATCATCAGGTATGTATACGAATCCCATCAGATGGTAGTGGGTTAAAAGGTCATATGAGAACAGGAACAGTTCCTTGGTTACATTAAAGCAAGTCACTTAACCTGACACCGTTCCCCTTTGCCATCACCAAAAGGTGAATTGCCAGGAAATTTACAGAAAAGGGGAACCAAAGCATCTTCAAAAAAGTAGATGCAATCTGGTGACTAGTTGTTATTCACCCAAATTAATACATCAGATACTTGTCAAAATTCTGTGTGTTGTGTTCAATCTGTGTAATCATGACTGCTATTGAAGGAGCATATTTCTCCTTTGAATTCAAGATTATCCTTTATATTAGAGATACAAAAACCATCAGCAAAACCTGCAAATACTTCATTCTGGATTATTTCTTTTCAATAATAATCACTTCGTTATTTAATCACAAGTTCTTATTTTTTAATTTTTAATCGGTGACGAGAATTTTTATATTCCATGGCAGAATTGGTGATTAAATATTAAAAAACAAAAACAAAATCGAGGTGTCAAAGAGTCAAAAAATTTTTTTAAAATACTTTTATTGGGGGCTCTTACATCTCAACACAATCCATACATTCCTCCAATGTGTCAAGCGCATTTGCCACCATCATCATTTTCAAAGTATTCTCTTCCCACTTGAGTCCCTGATACCAGCTCCCCATTTCTTCCCCCTCCCTCCCCTGCCAGCCCTCCCTCACAAACTCTTGATAAGTTATAGATTATTTTTTTCCATCTTACATTGTCCTTCATCACCCCTCACCCACTTTTCC